TATCACCTAGTTCACACCCGCTTGGTAAAGCACCAGATTGTTAATGTCCAACCCAAGGTACTGGCCCAGTTCTTTAGCCTCATCATCGGACTGATAAGGCTGAGAATTTGGCTCCAAAATAGCAGTAAGACACTTTGGACCTATTTATCATCAGTTTTATGTCAATATAACACCACAAACAGAAAGTGTTGTAAGGCAGCAGTAATTGAGGCATTTAGGGAAAAACTCGCAAGAAGAGTACAGAGGTGCTGACCCTCTCCCAGCCGTGCTGTCTGGAGTTACACAGAGCAGGCAGTGCTCTGCTCCATTTGTGCAGGATACTGAAAATTTGTTATCTGAACCTCTAGGTCCAAACTCTGTGAAAGGGCACAATCTGAACCTACAGCATTACTTAAGCAATTTCATTGGCTTTAAGGTCAGAAAGATATCCTTAGTTAATCTATTTCCCCCCATAATGCACAGACTTTCAGCCAGAAATTAATAAAATAAGTGAATGGCAGAAAGAGCTCTAATGTATCATTGAGCATGTCCACAAAATATTTGGAATTTTAATTCTATTTGAAAACTAAAACTTCCCTCCATGGACAGATAAATAGGTAGCCACACATGAAAGCCCCAGGGGAGTACTCAAGTGCTACTTTGTGCTGTTCTGGTTATAACGATCACTGAATCTTTGGGGAAAAAAGCTCAGCACAGAAATTACTCTTTGGGCAGAGGAACTCTTTTTTGAATGTAGATGGGATTCGGTCCAATACTTAACATACATGCATTACTTTTAAGTGCATTATTTAAATATATAAACTTACACACATATTTAAGTGTTCTGTTGGATCACAGCCATAATGAATAAATAGTTAATGCTACAAATTAATAAGCTATATTTAAAAAAAAAACAACCCATATTTTGAAAATACTGCATTCAAGTGTTTGTAACTAGTTTAGGGTCTTTGAAACTTACATTTCTAATACTCAGGACGAGATTTGTGCCCCTACTTCACTTACAGAACAGCAAGTTCTGAGGAACTGCATGTTACTACATGCACTTTTAAAGATACAATGACTGGTCAAAGAACCAAAAGTTTCCAATTAAATATAAATTGCACCATAATATTCAATATGTTTCCTGCATCTGCTCACACTGTTCTGAAAGGATGGTAAATTCCACCAGTCCCAAATTATACCATATTATAGTCAGTATGCTCACAGGGAAAAAGGGGGACCAAAACCACAGGGCTTTTGCCTAGAACTGGAAAGACAGAGTTCCAGTTTCCAGATAATCCAGCCAAGACCAGGGCCCCCAAAAACTCTACAAACCACCTCCTGATGGTGCTTCCCTCATAAGCACCCAAGGCCATAGCTACACCCTTTCTGAAGTTTTCCCCTTTCTGGGAAAACAAGGATGAGTGGAGGCTAAGCAGGGACGATGGCCTGTTCAGTCAAGTCCACATATTGAGGCTACTTCTCCTTTCATGTCCCTCACTCTAGGAAGTAAGTGGTGTAAGGGGAAATTAGTCTGTCCTTGTGATGGCATGATGGCACTTTGCAGACTTGTAGCTAATTGTGGGGTGGTGTTGCTCCACATTATCCCTGGCTGGTTAACTGCAGGCATATGACTTGCATTTGCTGCTGATAGCAGCCTGTGGGTGAGCAGGACCCTGCTTTACATTTTCTTGTACTCACTGCTATCCAACCTTTAGTGTTTGGGAAGGAAAGGTGGCAGAAATTACAAGTTAAGGGAATTGTCTATTCTACGGTTGGAGGATTTCACAGCAGGAAGACAGCATGGCCACCTTCACTGGGTGATCAATAAAGCTCCTTTTTTCTTCTTGTGAGTTGGTTTAGCACCACACGTCAATCGACTACTGCTAGGGATTCACACTACTTGTCTAGCGATTCTGCTTCCTTCAGCAATGACAACCTCAGAAAACAGTGTTTTGCAGGTCTCAGTCCGTATTTTAGCCAGTGTTGACAATGATGGAATTGACTTCTCTAGGAAGTTAATATATTTCCCCTGCGTGTCTTTATTGGCTTAGTTTAGACTGTTATAGCTTACTCACAATAAAGCCTCCTTCAGGAATCAATCAAAAACTGGTCAGAGTCTGGGTTTTCTTTCTTCAGAGGATGCCGATTTAATTAAATGATTTTTAGAAATATATTCATATTGTCAAAATTATCCAAAAATACTAACAAATTTGTTTGAAAACTAAAGAGTTACTCTTTGTTTTGCATATAATTTTGAAAGGAAAAATAAAAGGCTATTGAAAGTATGTAAACAAGGCTTTTTCAGTATTTCCAAAGTGAACATCTTTCCCTCTACATTCCAGTTTCTCAGACATTTCAAAAATGACCGTTTTTAAAAGCTACAGTGTCAGGATTTCTTAAAAAGCAGGTGTTCTCCATTCCAACAAGCTGTGAATGCCCTTGAAATCAGCTCAGAAGCAGCAGCAGTTGCAGATGTGTCACTTCTATCTCTCTCATTCTCTGCCATCAGTGCCAGCTCCTGACAATGCCACAAGCTTAATCTGCTCTCCCTTGTTATTCGCATGGAACAGGAGCACACACAAGCATGAACCAGAATAGATCAGGATGGATGATTCACCTCCAGCCTTTTACAATTCCCTTAATGCTCTGTTTCTGAGGTATCTGAAAAGATTGTCGCTCTTCACCTCATCTCGTGATGATTAAAATGGACAAGTGATTACAATGGATGGGTGACAGGCTGCAATTACACCTACTACTTTGCCTCAATTTTTGCTGTGACAGCAAATTCCTGGTGCAAGAAGCATTTAAGACTGTAGCAAAAAGAAAAAATTTTATACTGTAATCTAATCTCCTATGGCAAAAAGAATACACCCAATACCTTTGAGCCAAGGAAATTTATTTCTCAGGATGAGAAGTGTAGAAGCTAACATCCAGGTGGCACGTGCTGACTGATGATGCATCTAGTGGCTGCACAAGAGAAAAAAAATTCTCAGGCTTGACCCCAAAAAACTATTAATATGTATAGAGTAGCAGGAGGTGATTAAAACGATATTCCTCTACATTGTAGTTTGGGGTAGAAGCATCTGAGTTTGCAGAGAGAGTGGGAATCGTTACTAGCCACATAAATGGACTTAGACATTCTGAAATAAGCAGCCACCATTTCAAGCTGGGGAACCAGCCATGGGTAATTCTACATGCCAGTCAAGAAACAAGGAAAAGCAGCTGGAAAAGGAGGAGAGGGAAATCTGCTCTTCCCAGGACAATGCAATGGATACCAAGGAGAGTACTGCTTTTAATTTCAAGGACTTGGTTCCACATAATGTTTGATCAACTTACACATTACAAAGTAAAAATTAAACCAGGAAAAACGCTGCTCAAAAATATGTAGAAATTCTGCTCTTTCTTACTTATTTTCATGCAAGCTCTCTACAGGGCAAAATCCAAACTTGTCTATCACCGAGTCCTCTAAAAAGAGTAGCTTTAATTTACTAAACTTCTAAGACTTTCTCTGCAGGGCAAAATACAGCTTTGACTTCCTAGTGTCCACCTGAAATCACTCTCTGCCCTTTGAGACATCATTAGTACATCATAAGCATGGCACTACAAAGCCTCCAGAGCAAGAAATGAAATGCCAAGTATACTTCATTAGAAACTCTCAGCATCTCCTGGGGAGAAAACATACTACAGTAATTTGGAACAAGCAAAGGCCACATCACGTCCTGTGGGTCCAAGCTTGAAGACAATTTCTATTTTTAGCTCTTCCCCTGGAAGGGCAAAGAAGAGATCACACACCCTTTGCCTTCACAAAAGCGTTCAATGAAGCTGAGAAAAGGAAAGGTGGCCACGTGTGGGACAAACCACACAACTGGGACATCCAACTCTGTCCCACCAGTCTGCCCAGCACCGGGCAGCAGGAGAGGCAGAAGTGGGGCAGAAATGAGGGACTCAGGGTCTAACCTAGACCACTCCCAGCTGTCCTTGGTGGCGGGGAGCCCAGCACCCCAGCAGTGCCAGGGGTGGAGGGGAAAGCCTCAAACCATGCATGGCAGCAGGTGAGCTACTTGCAGCCCACTTGAAGGTCTCTCTGCTCACTCATGAAGCAGGCAGCGAGCAGTGCCAGCCCAAACCCTGCACCATGCCCATTTGCAAAGGAGCCCGCTGGGTCCCAGGTGGCCCCCTCAGACACCAAACAAGGCCATTAGCTCTCCCTTGAGGTATTTTCACCAACGCTGAACTCGACTGGCACACGTTTCTGAAGGACAGCCAAGCTCTTCCTATCAAGCCATAACTGGTTATTTTCTTCTTCAGAAAAAAGTATGGATTTGGTGCTAGTAATGGCCACCCAAATAACATTACAGACATATGCACATATCTGCTCTGGTATGTGTGTATGATTCCTACATCGTAATGTTATTATAAATTAATACTGAAATATTTTACTCCAAGCATTATACTTTCCTAGCCTGTATACTTTGTGAAGAATGACTACATCCCATCAAATGAAAATTAATGCACATTTTGACAGGCTAAAGATATTATGACTCAACATTTGCAAACGTTACCTGATGCATAACTTTTGTATGGCTTAACATATTATTAACAGTACTTTAGACCTTATTTTCCTTTTTGATTTAATGTTTATGTCTGAAAATAGCCCCTTTCAAATTCAGCTGCTGTAATGTCTTTAAAAGCAAACTTTAAACTTAATTTGCTGCACAAACAACTATCCAAATAAGTTGCATAGTTTAAACAAGTTCAGTTGTGCTTTGTAGCAGAACTCACAGTAATTACTCATCTCTTAAAAATATGATTTGTGCATATGAAGTTGATGATACATTGAAGCATTTTTGTGACATCCAGACATCAACAATACGAGTTTCCGTCACTCTTCAACCGACTTCTCCTGTTCATAATACCTCACCCTTATACTGATATTAGATTAGAGCATGGACATTTAATGGACACATCTGAAATAATTACAAACACAATTTTTAAAACTCCATTGTCAGGAGGGGAGAAATAAGAACTTGGGTTGGTTTGAGGTATCCAGCCCTCAGGAACATACTATAGTTGTTTGCATTAAGCTTTGTTGGTTTTCTTACATGTTACATTGAGATTAAAAATAGAAGGCACAGGTGTTTTACAAGGCGCCATAATTAAGTCAACCAACAAAACTAAATATTACATTACCAAGCCAGGGGTCTATATCTCAGCAGTGACTTCCTCCAATGCATTTTCATTTAAGGAATTTATTGCTTCTGAAAAAGGGCCTGGGTATGTCTGTGCTATGCAGTTCATTCCTTGTGCCACACTTATATCTCCTTGGGAGCTGAAGGTAGGGCAGGATCTAGTCCGTGCATAGTTTTGTTGGGGTCCAACTTGGCCAACCATCTCACTCACAGTGTTCACCGGTGAAGCCCTCCATCTCTGTCTCTGCAGTTGCTCTTCTTTACACTTAATGGAATACCAGGCCAGGAAAATAAAAAAGAATCCCACAAACTTGAGGGCAGCTGCCAACCCAAAGTAGACAAAACGAAACGAGGTGACATCGTATTCCCAACAAGATCCTTGTACACCGCAATCCTGTTGCCAAAGCATGCACGTGGTGTCAATAACAGCCCCAAAATAAATTGGAGTGGGAATGTAAGCTGAAATAAAAATAGCAACAGAAATAATATGTGTTAAAATATAGTGGAAAACTTCTAAAGAAACTATATGCCTTAGCCAAACAGTGTAGGCCAAGAATTTTTGAGATTTCTACACCGCTGTTCTCACATGTAATGTAAAACATGGAAAACTGGTCAGCTGATCTTCCCTTATCCCACACATGAAACATTATCACAAATGGGAAAAAATTCAAGCAAAGGAGACAATGCAGCAGTACCTTCCAACAGGTGCTGCTTCAAACTATTGTCCCCAGACAGCTCTCTTGAACTATATATCCCCTAAAAGAAAATCCAGTGTCGCTCTCAGGAAATAAAATATGGGAGACAAACAAAATCACAGAATCACAGAATGGTGGGGGTTGGAAGGGACCTCAGGAGATCACCTAGTCCAACCCCCCTGCCAAAGCAGGTTCCCTACAACAGGTTACATAGGAAAGCGTCCAGGAAGGTTTTGAACATCTCCAGAGATGGAGACTCCACAACCTCTCTGGGCAGCCTGTTCCAGTGCTTCGTCACCCTCACAGTAAAGAAGTTTTTCCTGAAGTTTGTGTGGAACTTGCGGTGTTCCAGTTTTGCCCATTGCCCCTTGTCCTGTCACAGGGTACTACTGAAAAAAAAACCCAGCCCCACCCATTTGGCCCCCATGCTTCAGGTATTCATAGACATTGATAAGATACAACATTATCTCCAGAACTTTGCTTGCTGAACATCCATTGTCCATGAGCTGGGAAAAGGTGGGCATTGCTGCTTTAGATTAAGGAGAAAAAGCCCCAAAGTCCACAAAATATTTCTCTTACTGAAGATGGATGGAAGCCATGAGACCTCTAAAATTGCAAATTTTCTTTTGAATAGATCTTCCTGAGAAACAGAACTTAACTTCTAAGTCTGCTAAAATGCAGCCAGCCCATTGAATCCTCCTGCTTTCTCCAGAAATGCGACACCTTTAAGACAAGTCAGAAATGTCCTTCCTCAAAGAAAACTTCCAGAGGCAGCTCTACAGGCTTCTCCTCCTGCTCTCTTAGAATAGTCCTTGCTTGCTCTAGTCATATGTTTCCTAGCAGCTGAACAACTGCAGTATTCTTTATAGGCAGGATTTTAGAACTTCAAGACCTTGAAGAAACCACTTTGTGGAATAGACTTTTAACATGTACCCTTTCTGCTTTGAGACATTTGAAATTAGACATAAAGTAACAATTGCTTCTTATTTAAAAAATGCATGAAGCCACTGTTATTGCTGAAAACAATTAAAAAATCTGTTTTCAAAAAGAAAAAATCCTTATAAAATAATATTTAGTAAAAATTTTAAAATAAAATTTGAAACTGTAAAAATGTTCTGGGACAAAAGTGTTGTTCTAGAAAGTCAGTAACCAAAAAAAAAAAAAAAAAAAAAAAGAAAATTAAATATATTCTCTCAACTACAATGTTTTCAGAAGCTATTAAATTTAGGTTCCTAATACAATTAGTCAGGCAGTAAGTTGCAGATTTGTGGAATTTCAGTACTTTTATGGTACTAAAATTTACTTTTACATTTAAAATGAACATGGCAAACCTTTATGGAAATGCTGAGTAACTGTAAGACTTACCAAGAGTTCGTAATAAAACAAACTGCATCCCTAGTGCAAAGGGCCGCTCCCCGTCTTCCACAGACCTAACAGATAAAAAGCAAACTCCTCTGAAGAAACAGTCACAACAGATAATCATTGTAGTATGTTCTGGCTCTACCCTCCAGCTTTTTTCTGAGCTATAAAAAAATCTTTGTCTAAATTTCTTCCATTTACCTTCTAATATTGTTAACTCTTATTGCTAGGAAAAAATACAGCCAACCCCTCCTGTCCCTGTTTAATCAAAATCTCAATCACACCTTTTAACCTTTCTTTACCTGTGTAAGGCCTGAAGAATTTGATCAAAGCCCATTAAAGAAATTTAGAGGATCCATCCAAAACATTTATGGTTTCTTATGATAATTTTCTATTTCTTCATGCAATATTTTCTTAATCTTTTCCAGATAAATCAGAATTAATGGAGAATTAAGTTGCTGAAAGCTAGAATCAGCTTCTGAATTTAACAGATCTCTCCATAGCATAAGCACTTTGGAGCTACTTTAGGAAAAATATCAGTAGAAACATCCAAATAGTCTCTTCAAACACCGTTCCTTTTCAATACAAGTAATACAACATTTCTGCCATTGGTTTCAAAGGAAAAATGTCAATCCTTCAAAAGACTAAATAGAAAGTAAGGATATTCCACAATGCAACTCCAATTTTAGTAAACCACAAATTTTCTTCTGATTTAAAAAATATTTTTAAATATTAATCTAAAGGTCTGAAATTAAGATAGGCAGCTTCTAATGACCTTGAAGTATAAGACAAAAACGCACAAGAAGTCTGTAGTCAAAGAGGTGCATCTGTAAAATCACGGTTTTGAAGTCAAACACTCACTTAGAAATTGAGAAATTGGAGAACCAACCTGGGCCACAAATCTTGGACTGACGCTTTGTGAACAATATGTGGTTTGGGACAGTGGGTGTCACTGTGCACGTGTGTGGGCCATCCTTTTTTTGCTGAACATTACGAAATCCTGATGGTGATGTCCCTTATTCACCTCACCATTGCAAGGCTCACTGCAGTATTACTGTTCTTTGATTGTAGTTACCTTTGCATAATTGCAGTGCAACAACAATTTTTAAAATTATGATTATTGTACAGGTGGAAAACCCAAAGACAGAAGGAATAAGGTCAGAAGTCTCTGAATTATAACAGCACTGTGCACATAGTAGTTGAGCTAAGGTTGCACAAGCCACTGGAAGTCTGATGTGCCCACTCCCAAACGCTTGGCTTCACAGTCCCAATGGCGATCCTTGCACCCATTTTGTAGATTTTTTGAAAAGCAAACTGGAAGACAAATTCCACCACGACATGGCACAGTCCTGCATATGTCAGCAGCATGCTCCTACACAAACCTCAGCCACCTGAGCTGAGAACATGACAGCCAGAGAGGGCTTGTCCTTGCTGGAGATGAGACACAGATACCTGCCAAAGGGTTTCAGAGCTGTGCTCAGAGCTGGGCCTAAGGAGAGCAAAGCCAAGTCCTGATCGGCCTCATGTTTTCTAAAGCTCCATGACCTATTATAAAGATTTGCCATTATTATTTTTATAGGGGGCTAGTTGTGAGCAGCAGCAGAACACCAGTAGTCTCAGAATATCAGAGTGTAGATATAAAGACAACACTTAACAGGAGAAAATCATGCTTGGTTGGGAGAACCATTCCTGCAGACAGAAAAGGTATAAAATAGCTTGATTCAAAGAGAGATTTTACAAAAAACCAGGTCAAAAGGTCTCTCTATGTTAGCAATTAATGCAGCTCAAGAGAAGTAGGTTTATACAGCTAAACAGCTTGTGCTGAGGACCTGGCATCACCACAAGTATTTCAGGTTTTGTAGGGATTTACTTCAGATCAGCTCTAATCTGGCCCCAGGGTCTGAATGTCCATTTGCATCTGGATCATTTGGGATGTGCTTCTGAAGAGCATGTCAAACACTGGAACAGGCTTCCTAGAGAGGTGGTTGATGCCTCACGCCTGTCAGTGTTTGGACAATGCCCCTAATAACAGGCTTTCAGTGGTTAGGCAGTTGGACTAGACGATCATGGTAGGTCTCTTACAACTGAACTATTCTATTCTATCCTACCTTATCCCATCCTATCCTATCCAATCCTATCCTATTTTTCATATCTTCCAGCTCATCTCTGTCTGAAAGGAACTTACTTCTTGAACTCTAAGAGCTCTTCAGCTTCAGATTCCAAACCAAATCAACATCTTTACATCATTCTCATGGTCCTGTTACCAGTAGAAACAATTCCTATCTATGGGTGTGCTTTGTAAATCCTAGTAAGTAATTATTTCATTTTCCTCTAATACTTTCTCCTCCTCTTTTAACAACAACAATATAATTTATACAAATACAAATTTATTTTAGCAGTGGACTACATTCCATTTTTTCAGCTCATTTTCTTTAAAAATCAGACTGAAGTTCACTTATAGAAGCTGATTTTTAAATGAACAAAGATGTTACAGGGAGTGATAGTGTTTATCAGACCAGATGGCAGAGATGGGAAAATCCAATCCAAAAACCTGAACACTTTTTTTTCAAATGGACAAATAAATGACACTACTTTTTCGTACAAAGACTGTGCTATTCTCTAACCTTAAATGACCATGGTGACAACACTAGTACAGTACAAGTTCAAAATTTTTGTGAAGAAAAAAGGGAAGAACCAAAGACAGACATGTAGCAGGATCGAACAATTTTAAGAGAGAAAATAGAATAATTTTATATACTTTTTTTCATTTGCCTTTGAAAATCCAAACCACTGCTCTAAGAAGGTTGAAAATTTCATCAGGAGTAATAACTTTCTTACATGATGCTTTTACTTCTTCTCTCTTTATAGTATCTGGAAATCGCTGGGTTTGTCACGTTTCTTAAAGTAGATTATCATGTTACATATTCTAAATACAAGCAAGTTCCACGCTATCCATGTCAGCCCTATTCTATTCATTTTTTAAGGATACAGAAGCTTGAAGGAATTGGTCTGCGTTGCACCAGCCTCTTGACACAGGCACTGGTGACAGTGGGCGCAGCAAAAATACTTAAAAAACTGTAACTGAGTTCTCACCTGAGTGTCACTATGATTGCTGATGGCTGGGCACACGCTGTTATAAGGGTAACAATGAAGAGAAATATCAGGAACGGGATAAGCGTGTTGCAGGTTCGATCACACTTCCCAGAAACAGCGTAGCCATTCTCATTCAGGTAGGTTTTGACAATAACCAGCCGGAGCTGACTGCGCTGGCCCACTGTCGGAGGAGTGATCACCTGGCGACTCTGGACACAGGCACATTCTGTGTAATTTCTTACCTAGGGAGAGCAAAAAAGAACACTTCTGCATGAAAAACCAATGCAAGAAAGACATTGTGCAGAGCTGTGGTATGACAGTCCCATGGTACTTCTCAATCAGGAACCTTCTCCCTCTAGCATCATTACCCCAAGTACAAGCTAAGTTACCACTCCAAGTATTTTTAAAGCTGTCCAGGACTCTCTATGGTGAGATTGTCTTTCCATTGCTTTATTTAGGCTGAGTTTAAAAAATAATTCTGGAACAGTTTTGGAAAATTCTGCTTAAAACAACTCAATTGCTTCTGACAGAGATGCTGGAGAAAAGGTTTGTTTCCATTGTATTACAAAACTGTGAGGAAACACTCTTTAAGTGACACTGACAATGCCATATTCTGGAATTTGTCAGGTTGTTGACTTTCATATTCAGGAGGTGTCTTCTGCCATCTCAATGGAAGTCTACCCAGATCTGGCTAAAGAGCAACAAGCTGCACTTCACACTTGGAGCCCGGGACCTTCCAGCTGGATGTGGGTGTGGATGTGGATGGGATGTGGACAGGAGCAAAATCAGAGAATAAGGGGAAAGTAGAGACTTAAACAGTGAGTTTAGAAGACATGAGGGAGTCCTGAATGGACAAAGAGGCTGAAATTAAAATGAAGAGACTGAATAAAGAAGTGGCATTCATAGGCAAAGGGGATCATGATTTGAGCTAGAGCCAGATCAGAAATTGCCTCCTGTCACATCTATTCTACTGCTGTTTTCAAATAATCCAATGGCAAAGGCGTGTACAGTAAATCAGAATACTCCAGAGCTAGAGAAGAAACAGGTCAGGACCCATGTGATGTTACAGGAAGGAGGTTTTGTTTTCAGTGTTTGCATTCTGAAAACCTAGGACCACACATGCACAGAAGCTACGCTACAAGACGAACTTAATGTTGAAAATTTAAGTACTTGGACACCAGAAAACATCCAAATTATAGTTGCTTGTCAATTTTAATGTATACTTTTGTATGTGTTCATACTATGACATAGCTTCCTGTTTTTTTCCCATGGGATTTAACTGAACATCTTAATAATGTATCAATTTATCCAGGATTTTCAAAATGTCGCTTCAGGTATTTTTTTTCCCTCACACTAAACATAATCCACTACAAAGACAGAATGAATCATATTTCATATGGATTTTTCTATCACACTCACTATTATAGCTTAACTCTTTAAAAAAAAAGAGTAATTTACCTTCAAAACAGTTAGGGTTAAGGCACTGATGCTGTTATCTCTATTCTGTAGCTAAGTAACTGAAATGGATCAAAAGTTTTACAAATGCGGGTGACTCATTTGAGACAAGTGGGATTCTTTTTATCAGAACATTTTCCATTATATACAACTTAATATACTCTAAACATAACTTTTCATGCCTTTAGATACAGATTTAGGCACTCAGTGCTTCTACAAATGGCACTTCTGCTTGTTGCTCATGTCCGTCATCCAGAATATGAAGAATACAAGATTAATGACCAACTGGGAGAAGTTTTGTTTAACTGACTTGCCCAACATCACTTAGGAATGAAGGCAATGACAGAATCTAGTTTCCCAAGGCAGCACTCTACTCTCTAACAGTAATCACACGAGTATCTGTTTTCTTCCTAAAGTCCCTCACCTTAATCTCCTTACTGCTTCCAAATGCAAATGCCAAAGAGGCATCCTACAGAAAACAGTCCTCTCTACTACACAGTCTTGCTTTATTGCCAGAGAAACGAAGTCTGTGGTAAAACAAGACAGGCATGACAAAACAGAAATGCTAGAGTGCGTATATATATATATATGTGTGTGTGTGTGTGTGTGTGTGTATATAAATAAAACAGGTATGAACCATGCACTTGCATCCTTTTCTCCTACTTCCCATTTTTAAATGGTTAATTTTGAAAACACTATATATTATAAACTTAAATCTGAATATTATAGGCTAGCCACATTTTGTGTGTTATACAATGGCACAAGCTTACATTTGTTGTTTTTAAAAGTACCCTACATAAAGCATTATTTAATGAAGAAGCACATTTTCCTATCAATGTGAACCCTATTCTATTCACCTTTAGCTACTAAGTTAAAACTTCAGGCCATCAAGGATCTTTTCTTAAATCATGAGAGGAGACAGTATGTTTCAAACTCTGTAGTGAAGAGCACATACTGCCAAAGTACCTCCCTACTAAATGAATTAATAGTGCCAGTTTGATATTAGGTAGCAAAGAAATGTAGCAAAGATCAAACCTATGTCTCAATCCAGCAAAGCACAAATAAGGTTTATATAGACACTGAAAGTTAATCACAGGCTCACATCATGGGCTTTTCCAACTGGATCAAAGAAATTTGCTACTCAAAACCAGTAAGATATTAAAAAAACCCCTAAGCCTATAAAGGAAACTAATCTGTTCTCAGTGGCATCTATGTATGAACCTGCATTTCCAGCACATTACCCAGTCAACCTGAGAAAGCAGTACTGGACCTAACATCCTCCTGCTTCACAGGCTGAGTCAGGACAGCAAATCAGGAGACTGATACATTGTAAATAAGCTTTCTGGAAAGCACAATCAAATCCTCAGAAAATCAATGTTTACATTACTTTCTGTCCTTCTTAATTATTCTTTTTTAGAGGACAGTTCTGTAACTGAAGAATTTAAGAGTTCATCTTTTGCACGAAACAAGCATGACCGTAACTCTCTGTTAATATTTAGGCTAGATTCTACGTTTCAACTGTTTTCTTTTGCCCAGTCCTGGAAACTGCCAAATTTCCATGGTGTGATTTTACCAGCAGGATGCTCTTTCCCATTCCAGCATAACTGAAAGACTGAGCTGTAACAGGCAATGCATTTCCAAGAAAGTCAGTGGATCATTAACATCCTTTCAGTTCTAGTTACTTGAGCTCAATGACAATCACTTCATTTAGCCTGGAAGAGGTTTAGAGAAAGGCTATAAGAATGGGCAAACTATTTTAGAAGAGCAGAATACATGGGCATTCTTTACCTAGCCACACAAACAAAAGACTTATCAATACACCGGTGCAGGTACAACAGCTACTTATGCAAAATGACAATGCTGACACAAACACCAATGACTTTAAAAAGGCCATAACTAAATTTAAACAGGAGTTTAAAACACTTCCAACTACCTGAAGTGTTAAGTTCTTCCTTCCACTCAAAGAGAGAGAGAGAGACAAAAAAACCCCAATATTGCTCTTAAGGGTAACACTGATGCGCTTGTGGAGAGACAGTATGACAGGGATGCCTATGCTAATAGAAAGCTGAACTAGATTACGCTGAGTCAAGGTCCTCTCTCCAAGCCCTGCAGGAACAGCAGACACACAGGCCACTGCCATGGGGGACTTCAGAGTCTGTACGGGAAACAACAGCCCTCCCTACCCCTTGGCACTTTGCACTCACTCAGCTGGAGGATTCACTTGGTACAAATGAACTTGTGCCTCAAGTCTGTACAGGACTGTAACTGAAAGGAGGAAGAGGAGTGGGACCATGCAATAGTAGCATTACCAGCCTTTCAAAACAGGGAAAGACTCATGCATGAGTCAGCTGCAGAGCAACTGCTCTGAAGCTTAGAAGGAGGATGCTTGCACTAAAAACAGAGCAGGCTTTGATCTGCATCAGTCCCGAGGGGCTACTCGCAGGTTGTATGTGGGTGGGTGAGTGAAGCACTTACCCCTGTGCTGTGGTTTCCACCATTGATGCAGCCAGCTAGGCAAGGATTAAAGTATGTTATTCCATCTGATCCACAGACAGGTTCGTACTCATGAATCTTACATCCACAGTTAACATTACAGCTCCCAGTCAGATTCCTGTGGGCCATGGCAAGAGTGGGACTGAAGAAAGGAAAAAGAACATGCTAGTAGAGCAAGCACAGATATCCTGCTGTTCAGAAGGAGAAAACATCCTACTCATTAACTCAGGAACTGAGAGTTGATTATCAGAGAAAGATTGCATTAACTCTAGGTTATGTGCATGATTTAAACAACCTAGAACACCCAAGGCATCCCTGCCATCAACTAAAAACACAACACAAAAATAATACCAAAGTTTAAAACTTGTATCTTATTTGTCTAGGTAATAACTGTATTTTTCCCGTTTTTTGGTTTTTTATTTTCCTTTAAGAGCTATGACACCACTTTTTTGTATGTCTATCCTAAGCTGCAGCAATTTGTTGTTGATTACTAGTGAAGGGCTCAGTGATGAATGTAAGCATTATGTGAACTAATAGACATCTCTTCCCACATACCAACAGCTGTTCAGAAAACTGAATGCTTATATCATTTATATGCATATGTGAAATCTACAGGAAGTTCTCAAGATGTGGAGGAGTGTTGTGCTTTTCCTAAATGTCTGTGAAAGAACCACTGCTCTGCTTCCCTGGACCATTCCCCAAAATCTTGCCAAAGCACAACTTCGTAGGTCCTTCCCAGAAAGGTTTGGTGGTATGCTTAGAAGGAACTAAAGAGAATTTCAAAGCTGAAGGACACACACATGCAAAAAACCAGGCTCTTCACTATCTATCACTGCTGCTCCAAATAGGTGGTTGAACAGATCTCAACTGTCACAGCAAGGAACTGCATTAACTCTTCACTGGCAAGTGCCATGCCAGCCTAGGCAAGTCCTCACTACACAAAGGGACCCCAACAATGGCAGCAGTTCATGGCACTCATCTGAGCTCCGTGGCTCAGGAAACAACGCCCAAATGAAGCACTGCACTGAGACAACTACAAGTCTCTCCTGACACACCCTCTCCTCCAGCTAACACCTCTGGGCCGTGTCTAGAGAGAACAGGTCATTCAAATGCAGTCTTGATCCCCCCAGATGGCACTGCCCTGGGTGCTGGGAGCTCCAAAACAAGACAGAACCAATATCCAATATCCTGAGCTGCCAAGGGGCAGTCAATATGAACCACTGAGTACCAGTGTGCAACCCATGGCTGGAATCGAGATTTTATAAACATTTAATCCCACTGTGGCTCTACCATTGCAGATCAATCCAGAAGTGACAAAGTCCTTAGTAACGGCAGCATCCATATATATGAGATCACAGACTCTTCATCAGAATATGACAGGGGAAAAAAATCCCACTGATCAAATGGTGCTTTTTGCTACCAGTAGAAAGAAATCAACTCTGGTTAGAGCTGACAACCTGCTGTCACCATCACAGGTTTTGACTTGGGTTGACTAGGTCACACAGTCACCAAATTAACCAGTTACTGTGTTACATACCATATTACTTCAGCCCTGCCCAAAACTACTCTCAGGTCACTCAATAATGCCCAGCTTTGGGCAAAAACACTGGAGGAGACACCCAGCTACCTCCTGCGCTGAAGGAAAGCCCAAGCTGACACTGGACTTTTAACATTCCTGGGCAGGGTAAGGGCTTGGAGTACAAAACAGAAGAGGAAAAGCATTAGCAGGCACAAAGGTAACCTAATTGCAATAAAATAATAGTAAAAACTCCTACCTAACTGTATAGACAAATTCTGATTATAGAGAAACAGAGTAAGTTAAAATGAAAGAGTTAAAAAAAGATAAAATAGACACTAGTTTGTTTGTTCCCAAATTAAAAACAGACTGGTATAACTAGATCTAGTGTATATGGAGCTAATATCAGAGGATGTAAGATGTCAATCTCTATTACACAGAATAATAATATCTCCTCATTAATGATGAATTAGTTGATGATCATATCATATTTTTCTGACAAATAACTAATCTGAAAAGCCATTTCTTTCTAATGGGCATATTTTCTTGAAAATCTCAGACTAGTTTATAAAGAGCCACTACACTACCTTTGGCCCTTTCAGTTACTGGATTACATTAAAATATTTGCAAGCTCTAGTGAAATCTTGTTGTTAAAATTAAATAAATCACATCTAATATTAACTACTCTAATCCAATCACATCTATTACTTGAAGGCATTATTCCAGAAGGTACTTGAAAGTATAGGCATAAAATAGTACCTTTTATCCATGCTATTACTGAACATGCTAGCTCAGGTAGCAAAAATAAAATGACTGTTCCACTTAGTTATATATGCAGACACACCTTGAAATGTAAGTTATTTTCTACTGTCATTATGCAGCCAAATTATAACAAGCATGAACTTTTAAACAGCCCATATTATGTTTATATCTATTTTTACTACACTTGCCATGTTCTCTGTCTTGTTTCAGGTTGCTAAATTAATTTAATAAGTGGAAAGGCAAGAGTCTGTAGTGTGGTTTATTGATGGTTCAATTTTCTGCATCTCATTTGAAATTTCATCTGAGTTTAAAATATTGCCAGCAACATAAATGCATTAAGCCAGTGGAAAAGGTACCACAATTACCTTATTCATACCAATCTATTTCCAAATGATAGGGTTGGCTGAGGCTAGGGAGCCTAGCTCTTATTTTCAATATTCTATGGAAGCTGGGTTTTCATATCTAATTGGCAGACTACTGGATAAACAATGCAATGAAGAACACTTTTCACTTCCATTTATGAAAAAAATGTCAGGTGGTTTAAAAGTATCAGCCAGGAAGAGGAAGGAGGGACATTCTATTTTCATTTCTGTCTAAAGAAATCATGGGTCCCAAATTCTGCACCCACACTTCCTCTTCACTGCATAAGGTAATTCCAAACCACTGAAAATGGAAAAACTGCTGATACCAACATTTTCACCTGAAGCTTCTCCTGTTACTTAGGAAAATCCCCATTTTATTATGTTTTCAGGAACTGCAGTCTATAGTTTCCTGGGATGCTTAATAGCTTTCTTTTTCTGAGGTTTACCCTCAAGTTTAAGTCTTACTTTCTGTCATAGCTGCACTCTAAACCGTAAATGCTATTTTGTGTCCCAAAGTATTCAAATGTTAGGTATTGCAATATTCAGTATTGTGATGCACAATACACCATACACAATAATCTGAGATTGAAGAATCCAAAAATATGCTTAATCTGGGTTTTGGAAAGTATTAACATACTTCAAACATCCCAAAGTCATTCTTCAGTCAATGCACTCCTCTACCTTCTCCACAGTGGTCACAACGGCAGGAGACATAGTTTATCTCAGAAGACAAGGCCATGCAGCCTGTCATCTGCATGGTTTTGTGACTCCTCATAGCTAGAGTGCAGGGTAGCTGAACAGTGAAGAAAGGTGGTGTTTTGAGAATGCAGTTTTGGATTTTATTTTTTTTTTCTCATAGGTTTTATTACAGTGGTACCAGAATCCTTTGGTGTGTCATTAGCTTAGTTGCAAAGTTTACTTTACTCCATGTGCCACCTTTCACCAGAGTTTCACAGACTACAATAACTCTGGCCTCAGCCCACAGAGGGACACAGCTTCTGGATCCTCTCCCAAGAGGTGGGATCTGCATAGCTCCATGATAAAAGGCTGTCCCTCCTTCCTCTTCCTGGCTGATACTTTTAAACTAACTGACATTTTTTTCACAAATGGAAGCAAAAATCTTGCCTTGGAAATGATGTTGTTGTGCACAACCTCTCCACACCAGGCACTGCAGCATAATATTGAATTAACCATGCTGCCTGTTTGCCCTGCTCTCAGTATGGCTCAATGGTGCCACAGAGAGGCCACTGCTGTTTAAGACCAGATGAAGTATTTTTCCTCTTAGCAGATCAGTAGATATCCAGTGAATTTTAGCATCTCCTCAGCCAGGCAGGAGCTGAACAGGAATCTAGATTGAGTTTGTGGCTGCACCCCCAAGATCCTGTACACATGCTCACAGACCGTCATGGTTGCAGAGCCCCACAAGGGCTGCTGTTTGCTTGTCTTCACATCTGTAATGCATGGGCAGGACCACTGTAAAGATAAACAGCTAGAATCAGACTTTCTGCAACCCAGCTACCTCATGGACCACAAGGGATGTTCTACTGCTCCCATCTTCTACATCCAAATAGCTCAGAGACTAAGCTCAGGAGCCACTCAATGCACAGTGAGTGTCAACTGTGTCATCCATCACCTCACCTCCTGTCATTAGTGACAGTAAGCAGTACAACTGCTGCTTAGTGGCTTCCAGTTGACTGATTTCTAATGTGTTTATACACCCCTATTTGCTTTTGCTGAATATGCTTGCCTTTCCAGCTGGGCACTTTTGCAGTCAATCAAATGTTACTAAGTAGCTATTAAATATTTATTGACTGTCTACTGATCACACAAATCAGGTTCACAAATTTGGCTCCTGGAGCTACTTTACACTTTATGGTCTAGCCGGGTGTTAACCAAAGCCTTTGTGAGTGTTTTCTTTCTTGTGCCATAAACAAACAAGGCACAGTTTCAGAAACAAGTTGCAGCTTGAGCAGGAAATTAAATATCCAGGACTGATATTGGTTCTGTCGCCTTCTTAGCTATCAGCTGAAACTTGTCTTATTATATCACACAGGATTCTAGAAATGGTATGAAGCAATATGTCACATAGCAACAGGCAGACTTTCCCAGTAATGTCTCAACAGAACCTTTTATCCAATGGAAAACACTAAATCATCAAAACATTCCTTGGGAACATACTGATTTCAGCAGCACCGTGACAGAAGTTTTTCACACCAGCAAGAGAGGCAGCATTTCTGGAGTTCCACAAGCCCCTTGGCAGCCTGCTGAGCTGGATGTCCCAGATGCCTGAATACCTGGGGTGAGCTCCCCAGCCTGCCTGGGAGACCCTCCAGCCCAGGCTGCAGGGAAAGGCACAGATCAAGTTCCTCTCTCCAACCTCTCCCACCCTGAGAAACGCATTCTTATGACCTCTTTTCCCTCCATCACGTAAAACTCTTCTCAGCAGCAGCAGGTGGGTCGTGTTGTTGCCCAGGCAGGACAGCCCACTCCCCTGCTCCACTT